CTCTTTAATTAGAGGCAGTAGTGTCTCCTTCCCTCTGAGATTTCCTTATGAAAGTATTTTGCTTAATAATGCAGGGTTATCAGCTTTCAGTTGTCTTCTGAATGAAACCTCCCAAATGAGACTACCTGTCACTGCCTTCTGCATATGAGCCAGAATTCCCCAAAATGCTCTGTGTCATTGCTTAAGCACTTCTTTTCACTTTCTAATAAATATTTTTACTCTTGTTTTAGAATTAGTATTGTAAATTTTCCCTTGGCACATGATCATAAAGGGTGGAAATATAGTTGTCTCCTTAGCATTATTTCAGAATAATCTGAAATTTATTTGAAAATAAAACAACAACAACAATAACAATGAAATTTAAAAGAAGGTAAATCTTCTTTACAGCTTTTTGCTGTACAAAATATTGTTTTGGCCAAATCAAAAGCACATAGGCCTGCTGTCTTCTCTTTCTCCCCATTTTGTTAAGTCTTGTCGTAATTTGAACCTTTTATATGTATATATATTTCATGGTATCTTCAAGCTCACTTGTTTTCCTTGAGTCTTTCTTTATGTCTTTATTCTTAATTTTTTCTTAACTTCTGATAGGACTGTCTGATTATTCTTCTTGTTTAAAATTTGCTTGACTACTGATCAGTCTATTGCTATTGTGTTTCCAGGATGGGCTGTTAGATGCAGTGCCTTCACCTGTTCCTTTTCTTTTTTATACCTTTTGTTCATCCTATTTTTCTCCTTCACTGTCTTTAAACCTACTTGTAGTGCTTCTTTGTTCATTGAACTTATTTTTTCTCTTATTTATTGATTTGATCATGTTGCAAACTTGTTCTTTCAGCAGTTTTGGCCCCTTTGGCCACATTTTTACAGCTCTTTTCTGGTTTATTCTAAAGTATTTTTTCCATCCTATGTTACAATTGGTTTTAATCATTCACTTATCTCCCTTTGAGTATCTAAAGTTTCTCATTTTTCCTCACTTTTAATTGTAATGCTTATGTGATCTGCACTTTATTTTTAGCAACATATGAAAGTTTCTGATTTACCATTTCTAAAAGTATTTTTTTCTTTCTTATATTTTGTAAATTTTCTAAACATTTTTGAGAAAGTTTTCACATGCTTGTTTAAGGTAAACACCTATTTGCCATAAAGTCATCACATTATACATAAAATTTGTCATATTAATATAAGTGCTCCAGAAAGAAGCATTTAGATTATTTATACACAACCAGGGTGGTGGAATATAAATTTTGGCAAGAGAAAAGTAGAGTTGTTTGCTAGAATGATAAAAAAGAAATGCTAATAGTGCGATTACAATGTTGCATGACATACAAGAACAGACAATTTTCATGTGTAAGATAATTGAAGCCAAAAAATTTCAAATGAAAAAGACAAAAGGAAGAAGAAGACAAGTTGAAGCCTAAGAAATTCTGTAGGAATAAAATTTATAGTTAGAGATAAAAAGCAAGAGCAGACTCTTGAAAACCTTTTAGGTCAAGAGGAGTAAGAATCTGAGGTAAACCTATATATTGTTTGTGATATCTTCAAATGCATTCATTTAGAATATATTGTATGGCATATTATTTTGTTTGTAGCTAGATAATATCTGAACATGTAGAGAATTTCTTTGCTGGTGTTTAATTTCCTTTGCTCTCCAGAACTTCTTTGATGGATATTGTATTATTTAATCCTAAAACAGACGCTCTCCACAAAATATTCTATTCTAAGCATTTTAAATAAATATAATATTCTTTTCCCATTTTGTCTTAATTAAAAATATATGTAATGTTTTCAATTAAATGAATGATGTATATTGCATTTATACTGTCTTTATTAGATTGCATTTATACTGTCTTTAGTAGAGCTGTGCAGATGAAAATTCTTGATGGCTCTCAGTCAGGTGGACAGGTTGATATGGGCCAGGCCTTAGGTCATCTAGGGGCATTCTTTGTAACGTCCAAACTACCTTAACAGGTTGGAGACTAGTATCTGCTAAATTCAGTGGAAATTACACACGTAAACGCTTTCAATATATGAGGAAATACTGGTGGGTAGTTGCCTACCTCTCAGCATAATAGAGAAAAGATTTACAACCCTTTGACAATACATTTCTATTTCTTTTGTTCTAAACCTTTAGTTAATTGCAGAGGTGTTTAATCCTTGGTGTACGTGCTTTGGTGTGATGTCTTTATTGGTGCATACTTGTAAATTGTTGTATGCTTTTGACAGGCTGGATGAATAATAAGATTATTCTCTGTTTTCTTTTTTTTTTTAATAATCTAGATATGTTAAAAGTTACAAATAACTTCAAATTACTCTACCTGTAGTAGACATCCTCCATTTTAGTCAGCTTTCCTAAGACCAAGGGGAAGAAAGGGAGCTTTAGCTAGCATTAAACTATTAAAGCAGAGCTGGCTGCTGAAGAAGGCTGGGGAATAGACTGCAGGGTTACATTTTTCCTCTGGCTGCTCTTGAAATTTGCCTTTAAATCCATAGAGCAATTCAGCTTTTTTCTTATTGTTGTTTTTTGGCATTTTTTTCCTCCCATGTCATTGATAATTACAAAATGATTACAGATGTCATAGAGAAGAATACTCTAAAAGTACTGTAGGAAGAAGGATACTCTGGAAGTAGTCTAGCTCATAGGAGGCTGGGAAAATATGAAGTATTAATGAAGTAGAAAATGGTTAAAAAGTAGGGCTGCTGCTGGTGTAATTTTGTGTAAGCAAACAGTAGATGATTGCTGAGTGAAGGAATGAAATGTGAAGGGTACAAGAGAGGTTGAATTTCTTGGAAGGTAGAAAAGGAAGTAATTTTAAATTGGACTTCAACAGCCTGAAAGGCTGAATTGGACATGATAGATTTTTAAGTGTTGTGACATTGGTCTGTACTATTGTGAACTTGTCAAACGAAAAGTCTGGGAGTCCTGGGGATACAGTTCATCCTAGCTTGAGTAAAGAAATCCTTTTACATTCCTGCAGAATAAATGGAATTGGGATAGTGGTGTGCACATGCAATATATTTTAGGTATTGATAGTTTAAATTGTACAAGCGGGTGTTTTAGGAGAAAGCATCATTTCATATTTTGAAATACGTGGTTTAACACATGAATATTCAGTATAGCAGTTAGTTTGCTAAAAATGGGCATGCACTTATCATGAATACCTTCACAGCATTTATGAAACAAATTTATATTAATTTGAGGTAAGATTAATCTAAGAGACTATAATTAATAGTAACAATTTAAATTTATCCTTGTATTACCTGGAACATAAAGAAAAACATACTGATTACTTCTAATTTAATTATGTTTTTTGCTTTACTATAGTGAGACTACCTCTAAATGGTTCAGGTTTTTTATTTGGCATGGTTATTGGGCACTTTGCATTTAATTGAAAGTGATAATTTGACTCTATTTTTAGCCCCTTTATATTCCATTTAAGTGTTGGATACTTAGGAATAGATGATTTTTATAATCAGTTTCTGTGTCCTATGAAATCCTTCTACCATTATGCCTAAGGTGGGTTTTAGCTGTCTTAGCAGACTTCAGACAGTAACTGACTTTCTCTGGTATTGTAAAGTATTCAGCTGCATGTTTTTAAGTTTAGCTGACATTCACACGAGAGACAAAAACAAAAGGAATTTATAAACATTAACAGCACATAGTAAAATTTTATAGAAAAAAATACAAACGTATGACAAGATTCTACCCTCAAAAATTATTCTCAACAGCCATCTGATGGACTCTGACTTGTGCTCACATGCTAAATGACAAAACTGTAAACTCTTTGACCTGTAAAGTGTAGTATATGAATGCTGAAAGGCTTTCTTTATAGAATCTGGGTCTGGTCTGTAAGAAATGCGTATAGATGAAGACACCAGCACTGATTTTGATGTCTTTTCTGATAAAAGCATTATGGCTTTTTGGAGAACAGTGTGAAATTGTCATTAACGTGGATAACAAACAATGGCTACTTAAGGGTGAGGCAGATGGGGTTGTCTTCCACTTATCTAAACTGTAATGTTAAAAAGAACATCAGCTATCTTAGGATCAGGAATAGGCCATCTGCCCAAATTGAATGCCCTTCCAGCTTTATCTAACTCCCATATTATTACTCTCATTGGAATGTTGTTATATTATTTCTGCTTTCTGTTTCCTTGAGAGATGCTTAATCTCATTAGCTGATAAATTTTTCAACTGTTTTTTTTTTCAAAAAATGCCAGGTCTTTTTTAATAATTGTATTTATCTATTCAAATATTTTGCCTCCAAGTATTATGTTTCATTGATAATTTTTTAGTAACTCAGACAACATCTGTCCTTACAGGGAAGTGTTGGAAATGATGTGACAGTCTGGCAACAATAGTAGCAGGAAATAAGCAAAGAACCCACAGGGAGCATGGAAGGGAACAGAGAATTTGCATCAAGGCAAAGAAAAGGGCTTTGGGAAAAAGGGTCTAATAATAATTGAAGCTGAAAGACAGAAAGATAAGCGAGAGACATTTGTAAAAAGCATTTTTTAGCTGAAAGAGGAATTTAATTTGTAGTTTTCAGCTTTTTCTGAAGGAAGGAAGGAATGACTTAATAAAAGATTCAGTTGCTTTGAAGGTACTTCAACGTATCTGCAGCTTTATATCTCTGTGAGAATATTGTAGTTGAGTAGGTAGATGTACAACACATTTATTTAAAGTTTTTCCTGATTGTTCAAAAGAACAAGTCTTTTAAACATGACGTCCAATTGGTTTAGCCTTCTATCTATTTTTGGTCACCCTAGCTGTAGAAATGAAACACTACTTAATGCAGCCTGAAAAATAATGTAACCATAGTCAGTTGCACACCATAGGGTCTGTTTTCATTACTCATTACTAGTTTTACTGGATGCCTATGTTATTTACAAAGACTGCTTGGACGTTTTGTCTCAGAATACTGAGGTGCAGCTAAACATGGACAGAATATAGTTTGGTACTTCATTTTCACACTGCCCTATAATGGAAACATTGAAGACGTAACTCCTTTAGAATTTTTATTGAAGGTGAAGTGAATAGCTCAAGTCTCAGTTTCAAAGCACAGTTCTGACTAGACAGGTTATGATTGTGTATTTTAACATTCCAATCACGCAAAGTTTGCCAAGTTTCAGTGATATATTGAATTTATCCATATAAATGAGTAATTGCAATTCTCTTGTTAGATATCTAACTTATATAGTTGTCCTATGCAGAAATGAAATTTGGTGGTTTTTTCCTTTAATTTTCACAAACTCAGTCATCTATCTTCATTTTTGTTCTCTGTCTTGATTTCATGCTTACTGAGTGTTTAGATTATCCTTCTCCTGTTTTGATAATCCTTCTCTCTCTTTTTTTTTTGTTGCTGTTTAGCATTTTCCCTGAGTACCTATCTAGTCTATTCCTGAGAAAATTGTTCCAATGATTTCCAATGGTATTAAAGGAAAAGCTATTCAAATTACACATTTGGAACATCAGTCAACTGACCTACCAAAACACTAGGTTTGGAAGGTCAACCTGTATTTCAGAAAGATGTGGGGGTTTTTTTCTCTACTTAGCAGGCAATACCAGTTTTTTTTTGTTTTTTTTTGTTTTTTTTTTTCTCTGGATATATTTCTAGTCATCTGTTTTCTAACTTCTACAAAAGCTGCATGCAATTGTTATTATTTTTTCAAGTATGTTTTCATATTTTTAGCATGAGATGAACTCTCAGTCTTTTTGGCTCTTTTGGGTTGTGTTCAATGACTGTCTCCTTTATTCCATTTAGCTATTTCCTTCAAAATGTCTTCTGAAGTATTAATAATGAACTTTTCATAATTACTGTATACTTTCTTCTGTGTAAAATTGCTTGTTTTGTCAGTGCCACACATCCACCTTATTCAGTTCAATAATAAGAAATATTTTTTCCTTATTTCTGACACAGTGTTGTTGGTTTTCAATTTGTTTTCTCACAATTCTTCTAGAGTTGTCTGGTATGTGAACTTATTTTCTGTGCTATATAGCAACATTTTTCAGAAGAGTCTCTTCTGGCTTCAGATAAAAAAGGATATCTTAGAAGATTATTGTTGACCATTATGTCTTACTGGCCAGCACAACATTATGGGAAGAATCCCAATTTCTATTTTAAGTTATCTTGAGGTCATTACTTCAGGATACACAAGCAGAATAGGATTATTAGAGAATTTTGGAAGTGGACATTTCCTTTTAGGATATAAATCAACATATTTTTCTCCAATCTCTTATCTTGGTTTTATGGGTACTTTTTGGAGTTAAGATTTCACAGCATTTTAACTAAACTAGAAACTGAAATGTTCCTATTTAAAATAGTGTTTGACCTTGTTAGCTGATGAAATATTGCAATTTATTTTTTAAAATGGCAGCAAATTTTTTACCAAAAAGTAAATGCTTCATCTTTTTATTAATAAAATATTATCCTTCAGTCCAGTAACTGACAGAAAAAAGTAATATAAATTAATTTTTTTTTAGTATTGTATTGTGGGTATTTCCTAGCCAGATATTTCAAATACTTATGTTTGCTTCCTCTCTTTTATTAGTGGTACATCTCAGAATGAGGTTTGCTGTCAAATGCCAAAGAAAAATTAATCTGTTTCTACTCTTCTGGTTTGAATAACCAGTAAGTACTGCTTTTAATGCATTAATGCATTAAAGCATTTTAATGCATTCCTGAGAGAAAACTATTAAATAACTGGAAACAAAAGTGTGTAGCAATACTTTTCTGTTTCTGAGGAAATTAAATATAATTCTTTATCAATTTCTTCCTCCATTAAAGAAAGTAAACATCCCAATTAATGAAATACATGAAAATTTTAGCCCTATGCTTTGTGTAGAAAAAAACAGCCTTTGTATAAATGAGATTATGAAAAAGCATAATTCAACATAACTGAGTTATTTCTATTACTTTTAAGAGATTTTACTTTGCTGAAAAAACTGCTGTTACTTTTTTTTTTTTGCATGCTTGTGCAAAAATGCAAGGTAATATACATTATGCTATTAAATCTACAAGGTGGATTTATTATTTCCTAGGGATTTCAGGCCTATGTAGGATATCTGTAGAAGGAATAGCTATCCATTTTTATATACAGCTGCACAAGAATTCCACTGCTCATCTGTTTCTTGGGTGGGGATTTTGACATAAAGAGTGTCTCTGGTCATGGAAAATGGCCAATACCATGGAGAAGTTTCTATGAAGAGATCAAAGATGTTATGTTTATCTGATGGTGGTTCACAGGACTACCATGGAAAGCATTGCCATGTATTCTAGAAGAGATTACTTTTGTCTAGTAATAAAATTATGTAATACAGATATAATGAAATAAAGATCTGCAGGCTCACATGTTGCTAAGAGAACAGAAGTATTTCACACAGATACATAAAAGTGTATAAAAGAAAAGGATCAAAGAACTATTCATTAACCAATATCTATGCTGAAATCTAATTCAAGTGGGTTTAAGTGGCCTCATCTCCAACACCCCTTTTGGCTTTATAATGCTCTTAGAGTAAATAAAATTTGATAAAAAGCTATCACTAAACTTACATTTCTGTTAGAAACATTGTACAGCCTAAAATCAGCAAAAATATCGTTTGTGCTCAGATTAGCATTTTCAAGAGAGAGGAGAATATGTAAAGAGATATTTTATCAGACTTTGGATTGTGTTTGTTATTGTCAGACAAGAACTCCCAGAAAGGTGAGGTGTTTTCTTTAGAAACAAACAAGACAAAAAGTATTTTGATTTTAATCAAAAATGTATTTTCTCATTAAAAAAAATTCACATACTCACTGTGTCTACTCTACAGAATTTGTCCATTTCATTACACCATATGTCAATCCTAGTATATCTGTTCACTGCAAAAACTCGTGGCTATTTTGTGTAATACAGCACAGGAGGAGGTATTGCTCAGTTCCACTACTTTTATATAATAATTTAAAAAAAATACAGAAAATGTTCTTGGCTACTTCCACTGTATTCCAGACTTAAAAGTCCCATGAAAGTTCTAGAATATGAAGTTAATTTTATTTGGTTGGTAGAATACCCTTAGAAGCCAGTTAATTAAAATTCTTCTCTCATATTGAATCATATATATTCCATTTGTTGGCAGCAACAAAGTCCAGCCATCTAGTTCCTAAGAGAAATATGTTTTTCTTGTTGCCTTTTTATTCAGCACAAATACAGTCATGTGCTTTTTATTTCAGAAAGTAAGTGATATACTGACATATTTATGACATATTTGTTGGTACACCTATTACAGTTGCTTTTACTTCCATTGCTGTGCTTTTTTCTTTGCCCATGTCCCAAAGAGTGATTAGAGGAGGATAAAGCTCATTGAGTGAAAAGGATTGTTTCTTCAGGTAATTCCTTAGATAGCTGTGTCCAATGCCATAGTTCATATCTTGAGAGATGCAGCTGTAGAGATATATCACAGATATGATTCCCAAAAGAGCACCAAGGCCGGTAAGGAATCCTATTATGTTGTTCTTTTCATAGCCTTTCACTTCCAAGTCCAGTCCTTTTGTGGTTACATTGACACACTGTTTCCTATTCTGAGCATAGATAGTGGGAATGTCTATACAAATTTTGTATTCAGTTGATGGATTTAGATGTGTAAGATTATACACCTTTATATCAGACGGTATTCGAGCACTCTGTGCAGCCCGCGAGTCTTCAGCTTTCGGAAAGGCTGTCCATCTGACACTGGACTTCAGAATTTTAGAATTTGCTTTCCATGAAACCAAAACAGAATTAGATTTTATGTCTTTTACTTTAATATTTACAGATCCATTGTGTTCCTGAGGGAAAGAGCCGTCCACTTTAATCATGACTGACTTTAGGTCTGCCCCAACTAAATTTGATGCTATACATGTGTATAAGCCACTTTCTCTTTGTGTTACATCACTTATGTCTAACGTTCCTTCAGAATGAATGTAGTATTTATCAGAGACAGTATTAGGCAAAAGTTTGTGTCCTGATGGTGTTATCCAGTAGATTTCAGGCTCTGGTTCTGCTGTTGCTCTGCAATGCAAAGAAATATGGCTGCCAGCTTTTAAATCCAATGTAGATGGAAAACTTTCAGGAGCTATCAGAGGAAGACAGATTTCCATCATTTCCCGAAAGTGTACCTGTCTCACATTCTGGCCTTGGAATTCAGGAGGGTCTACGCAAAACAGGGACTCCGGCTCCATGAACCGAATGTTTGTTTTGTTCATGTTAATCCAGCGGATGACACAGTCACACCTGATGGGATTGCTGTGGATGCTGACTTCCTTGAGGTTAGGCAGGGATTCCACTGTACTGCGGTACAGTGCGCTCAGCGCGTTGCTGTTGAGCATCAGCGATTCCAGCTTGGGAAGTCTGTAGAATGCATTGGGGTGAATGTATGATAATCTGGGGTTATTGGTTGCTTCTATTTTTCTTAAATCTGGCAAATTGTCAACAGCAAGACTATCTATAGAAATCAATTCAGGCATGTTATTAATTCCTAACTCTTTTAGATGCAGCATATTGCTAAAATCTCCTCGTCGAATTCTGTTAATGGGATTCTTATTTAGATCCAGAAATTTAAGATTTGTAGCCTTTTGAAGAGCAATGTGGGGCACTCTAACAAATCTGTTGTCATAAAAGGAAATGCTTTCTAAGTTGTCAAGGCCAGCCAAAGCATTATCTGGTATTTCAGTGAGATTTATACCTGCTAAAACTAGGCTGCGCAGATTGCTAAGAGGCTTGAAGTTCATGTCTTCAATTCTGATTATTGGATTTTCTCCAATCATGAGAATTTCAAGATTAGGAATAGCTTCAAACCACTTTCTGTTGATCACTTGCAGACCATTTGAATTGAGATGAAGTCTGAGAAGATTATTGAGGCCTATGAAAGCTCCTGGTGCAATCACAGAAAGCAGATTATGATTAATATAAAGTTCTTGTAAATTGTTGAGTCCAGAGAGACATTCTTCAGGGAGCTCAGTAAGTTTGTTTTCTTCAAGGTACACTGACAGTAACTGTGGTATCTTTCTAAGATTAATACTGGTCACTGAGGATAAATTGTTCTGAGATAAATCTAGACCAGTTAAATTCACTGGGAAGTCTACTGAGTGTTCAATGTTTGCAATATTATTAGTTTGTAGAAGTAGGACTTGTGTGTCAGCAGGCAGTGTGGCTGGAAAATGAAAAAGGCCTAAATCATTACAGTCCACTGTTGGAGCTTCCATGTAGACAGACCTGGGGGTGAACCATGGTCTGATTTCACATATACATGACTCCGGGCAGTCTGCTTTTCTTCCTACGGCTTGTAGAAGAGCAGTGGTAACTAGACCAAGCAGTAAATTAATTTTGAGTTGCAGGTCCTTCATCTTAGCCCAAATGTTCAGGAAAGTAACAGACCCTTTAGTATTCCACAATTATAGTCCTAGAATTCAGTATGACCTGGTCAATTAATACAGCACAATCTTGCATTTATCAAATGATGATCATGAAGGACTTCCTTCCTGAGGATGTGATAAATTTGTAGCCAACTTGTCCAGTAGTAAGAAGCATTTTGCAGAAATGAAGGTCACTTTGTCCTTGATGACGTAAAATTGATGAGCTTTGTGAAGATGAAGTATGTATAGATGATCATAGGAGATTAAACAATTCATTTATTTAGTAGTATTAACTTCAAATCCCATGATTGATTAGTGTTTGCAGGAACGACAAGATGACCTAAAATACAAGAAGAGGAAATAATTAGTATAAGAAGCTATAAAGTTATAAATTAATTTAGCCATCTTTTGCTCTCTACTGTTAATTATTGCAAGTAAGAAAGGAAAATGATTGTGGCGTCTGGAGTATTATAGTGGTATCCAGATAGCATAAATTAAGTTAATATAGTAATATGTCTTTAGACTTTTAGCTTGTCATACATCCAGGGGAGTATTGTTCTGCAGAAAGATGAAGATCCACAGAGTATAAAGTAAAATATATCAGTGAGATTTTTCTACATATTTTATCCTCCTTTAAAATATTTTCTTTTCTCTTTCAGTTATCTCTAGAAGCAGACTAATTTCTGTTGGCTTTGAAAATGTAAACACTGAGAAAAATCCTACAGAGCATGAATACTTAACTTTTTTTGCTTAAAGTTTGTAACTATAAAGAATGTAATTTATCTATGATGAAAGGTAAATGGAATGGTTGGATTAATGCACATTCCTAATGACATTCTTAGGCAAGCCTGTGAGATATTTATACAGAAATATATGAAACTGAAAATCCACAGGTTTTATGATTTTTAATATTTTTTGTAGCTGCTGTCTAGAAAGAAAACTTTTTTTCTTTTCTTTAAAGTGTTATTTAGAAGGAAATATGTACCCTATAATAAATAGCTTGTCATCTTTGCAAATTCAGGCTAATCACTGACTTTCTTATTTTGACTTTAATAACCTCAATTGCAAGGAGTATTAGCAAAAAAGTGTCTTCAGAGTGATAAGGGAAGAAAAAATTACACTAGCAATTGCTTCTTTTCCCTGTAGCTCTGCAAGAATCTGAAGTCTGTAGACAGCCTTTAGGCCCCAAATTATAGTAAGGACTGAAACCTTGTAGCATCAATACCACTTGTGGCATCAATTGTGTGCTTTCCAGATTTTTGGTATGTACTTTCTTTTTGTAGAGTGTACAATTTGTTCCAACGCATGTAATACAAAAGCTTCTGTATTTTCTTATGTAAAGTAGTACACATTCAAGAGCTTCTGTGTTTTCTTATATCAAGTAGTACATATTCACTGCTTAATTTACTTCAGAATATAGACTTTACACTTCACCCAGGCTTTGTTTCTGAAGACTGCTGTGCAATACACATTTATGCCCTTTCTCCCCCTGCCTTCAGTGCTAAAATTCACATTGACATTGTTTACAAACCTTAAGATCAATGCTTAATTGACATTGATAAATAACTTTGAAGGGGTTGCTGGTATAGATAGGCAGGATTGCAAAAGTTAAGTGTCAAGCATTTGGATTTATGTGTCCTTTCCAGGCCCAGGAGGATTTGGCATAGTGACCACCCAGGCATTCCATAACAGTGTAGAGGAAAGGTGTTGGACTGTGTAAAGTAATATGAGCACTGGGACAATTTGAAGTACATTTGGGAAGTCTTTGAGGCGGTTCTTTGTGTTATGTGCATTTAAGGACATTTAATATTTTATTTCAACATGTAAGTTTATTAATAGAGTGAACAGACAATGTGTGAGATAAACATACAGAAAACATTCTGCTGTTTTGAGGATCAATAGTATGTTTTTATGCACGCTGCCCAGTTTATACTAAAATACAAAGACATACTGACTGAAATAGTAAAAATATAATCTGTTCCTTTGTTCTGAGAAATGAGATGAACTTGAGGCTTGCAGAAAAATAAAGGTTTTTGTTGAAAAGTTAATGCCTGCAACTTGCTCTTAATTTTGCCACCAGGAGGCAAGGCAATACCCCTAAGTGGAGTACTGTCATGTTTACTAAAGATCTTAGTAGAAATCCTTCTATGCCAAATGCACAGATGTCATTTCCTGTGTAAGGGGAAAAGAGGATGGCCATGTGGTGGAGAATTTTCTGGTTATGTTCTTCGTACATACTCTTGAAGCACATTTTGTGCTGACTATTGTATTTTCAATTGGATTTTATATGAAAAATGTATTTCTAGCATGAAAAATACAAAATGTATGTTTCAAAAAATTAAAAGATCATTGAAAATCTTACCTGAATTGTAAATTAATTGAGATTCAACAGACTACTACTGCAAATGTCTTATCTCAGCCTTTTGATCCCACTGTGATTCTCAGGGACTTCTGCTCAGTAGAGATACTTGTGAAAGCAATCTGGGGAAGCATAACAATGCAGCTGACCGTATTTTCTGTCCCTCCCTGGAAATTTGCTATTGGCCACTGTGAAACATAAAATAAGGACCAAGATGAAGTTTTCATGTGTGTCCCAGACACCTAAGAGGCTGTACCATTTAAAGTGCATAAACTACATTTTCGTATACTTTTGAGCCAACATGCTCCTGTATTTGCATTTTTACTCCCGATTTTAAATTCTAGTTTCTTTGGGATTCTCAAACCAAAAGTAAGGGCATCAATGGATATTTCCATGTCATATATATCAGACAGGTTTTCTGCAAAAAACTGCAGAAAAAAAAAAGAGCTGAGATCTAGGTTGAAATTCTGCTTCGTTATGATTTAATCTGATGTCCTTTCTCTTTCTGGTGAATGCTTTAGCTAATAAGTCACCAGCTCAAGCTCATATGGTGTTCTAGCATAAATCATTCTTATTTCTTTGGTTAAAGTGCTTCTGTCTTGTGTAAAATATTCACTGAGGTTGAGTGGCTTGAATAACAGATTGTAGAATAATTTTGACACTTCCAGCCTGCAGCCATCATTCCAAAATACACTGTTTCAATGGAGAAAGATTTTTTTGTTTAAATAGTGGCATATCTATATTAAAAATTATTTGTGTTTAACTGTCATTCAAGGTGTGGTATAAAATAATGTTTCTAATAGAATGGGCACCACCCATGGTGGCTTATGACATCATACAATCATAGAATAGGATGTGCCAAGTTGGAAGGGACCCATAAGGATCACCTGCTGCTGGCAGGACAGCCTGAAACTAAATCCTATGACAGTAGTACTCTTCACATGACAGAGTACATAAAAAAGTGATACATTACAACAGCAAAAATTGTATATAATGCTTGGAGTGGCAAAATCTTTTTTTTTTTTTTTTTGTTTATAGCAATATTATAATGTGACTCCAATACACATCTTGACTAAGAATTTAAGAGAAAATGGATTGTTGGTGTAAGTTTTCCTGTCCCACTTGAAGTGATCAAAGCCCAGAATCAAGTTAAGCAGTATAACTGCTTAACTGGTTGCAGTGATTGTGTGAGTGTGCCTGTATGTATGTAACTAATTTTCAACCTCGAGATGCCTTCAGATCACTTTGGAGTGAAAAGTGAGCAGTCATTCACTGTAACAAAGTAACCTCATGTAAATTGCACTCAGCACAGCAGCATAACCTGTATCTGAAGTTCAGTTTCCTTGAAAAATGTGGTGTTACAGAGATAAGTGTTTGTATTGGGAAAAAAGAATTTAACTTCATGTTACTTTCAACTTCTGGAACGCATCGATTCCTGTTCATTAATGTACTAGTAATAGTAAATACTGAATAAAATTGAATGTAAGTGCTCTTATTAGCAGTGATTTTCAGTGTTTTTTTTTAATGTGTTCTGGTGCTTTAAAGCTGAGTGCTTTGTACCATCTAGAGTTTTATGTGAAATTTTAGTAATTTGAATGTCTAGTTTTAAAGGTTCTATTATAAGAAGGGCACAGAGAACCTGAAAGTTATTTGTTCTGTTTCTTTGAGTAGTGTTTAAAGTAACTGAGGTTTACACATGAAAGTTTCTGTGCCAAGAATTCATTTTCTTTCTTGTTTTAAAAAAGAAGTTTTTTCAAATAATGCAAGTATGTCAGCATTACCTCTTTGTTAGTGGATTTTGGTGACCTCTCAAGATTATGGATGTGATGTTCTAAGCAATGCTTAAAACTTGTACTATTCTTAGGACTTTCTCAGAGTAGAGAACCTTGTACAGGTAAGGCTCCAAAGCAGATTACCACCAGTAAGATGAGGTGCAGGATGGATGTCTCCACACAAGCAGCAAGAACTGTGCATCACAGTTTTGGAGCCTTTGATGTAGTTCTTTACCCAGCTGCATTTACAGATCTTTGTGGGTACTCTGATTGTACTTGTATTTCCTCATCCAGATGAAATAGTATGGTTTGGTTCCTAATGTCTGCAAATAAAAAGGCTAAATATTTTATATCTAACAAATTGGTATTCTTATTAGTGCTTCAGGATTTTTGTTATTGTTTTGTGCACTAGAACTTATGTACTAGATGCTTATGCTTAAATCTTTGTGAACAGATTATCTGTTTTTTTTCTGGAGGTCAATCCCTGTTGCTGCCCCTACTTAGTGTCTTACTAAACATGGTGTGTCTCTTCCTTTTAAGGTATTATTGCTTGCTTTTAGAAAAATGTACCCTGATGTGTGTGACTTTTTGCAGCCTAATTATTTCTTGTGGAAACAATGATTGTTATATCTTAATTAGGTTTCTCTGATTTACCACTATTGACAGCTGGAGACTTGATTTACAAGAGGGTATCACCGTTATTTGAGCTGGAAAAGACATTCAGTGAATGAATAAACTGAGCAACATTTGTCATCACTGGAGCAACAGACAGCTAAGAACCAAGTCAGAGTGGGCAGAAAGGAAAAGAAACACGTCAGATTTTGGCAATCATTCTTTTCCACTTCAGCAGTTAGAGAGACAGCGATAAAACCTAAAAATGCAGCAGTTACAGTGCAATGTGCCCTGCTGGCAATAAGGCAAACAGTGCACTTCACAAGGACCAATTTAGGGGCGGCAAGCATTTTGAAAACACAGCTGTTCATACAAAGCTACCTTTCAAACACATCAACTCAGAGAACACTTCTCAGTTCTTGTAATTATAACCACTTTGAACAGTTCTATGGACAGAAATCTGGAAATGCCACTAACCAAAACTGGGTGTGAGACATTCCAAAACTTACTTGGTTTTAGTTATGGCACACAGAGGTTATTTGGGTTTTCTAAATGTTGGTTATTAATATATATAGACTGGAGTTTGAACATGTAATATCTTTCTGATGAATTTATAAAGCTTTTTTTCCTTGTTTGCTTCATGGTCAAAACAAACAAAAAATCCTTCCTTGGGGATTTTCTTATTACACTACAATTAATAAAAATATGCAACATCTTATATATTTGACATATTTCATTAAGGCACAAAAAGTTAGTATTGTAGGTATAATAGACTTTCATGACAGAATTGGTCTTGAAATAATATTTATAGAAGTAAGCTATACTAGCTGATCTGAGAGGATTCCTGAAAATTATATAGGCAGTGTAAAAATGGAAAGCATTTCTGCTAGCCTATGCAGACTTGCTTTCATTCCACTCTCTGGAGCACTCTCTGGTGTTTCGTTCTGTTTCTCTTTACAGAAGAGAATACGCTCACTGTAATATGCTCTTAATATTTTATATTCCTACATGTTGCTAAGATATAGCCTCGCATTGAAAGACAAACAAGGATGTTCTAGAAAATTTGTGTTTCTAAGGTATTCTTGAGAGTGTCAAATGTCTTAAGTTGAAAATCTCTAAAGGGAGTACCTGAAATATCTGGACATTTGTGAAAAATTTGGATAGAGCTCTGCTGGGACCTTGACTAATTTTAGAAATTCTCTTTTTTTCTAATGTTTGATTTTTAGAATTTCAGACTGGCCCTGAATAGCATTACATGCAAGATGTAAAAGAAATGGTAAAGCTGGTATTCAACCCTAGAAGCAATTGGAACTATCTGAATAACTATTTCAGCAGGTGTATTTTTATTTATTTTGTGAACTTGTTACAACTCCTTTTAATTTTTCTCCTTAAGTGGAATAAATTTGCTTGAGGAAAAGCCACAATCTTGAAATGTTTAATATGCCTGTAAAACAGGACACGTTCTCATACCTTGGACCATTGCAAGAATGACAAGATTTTATAAATAAGGAATTTTTTTTATATCAATGGACATTTTGTGATTTGAGGTGACTTTAATCTACAAATACAGACAGGGTCAGAAAAACATTATGATCAGCCACATTTACATGAGCTTTAACCTTTGTCTCTCACTAACTGGCTTACTATTCTTTTGTTCTTGTTTACAGTCTCTTAGTGGAGTTTAGCAGATATAAGAGGAATTATCACCACACACAATTCATTCAGATCTTACTATAGTTCTCCTTCTTGTATCAATCAAAAATTACATTCCAGTATTTTGAAAAATATTGCAATATATTGAATCTCACAGCTTAGAAAACACAGTATTCAAAGTAGATGTAATGAAAGCAAAAGGTTAAATGAAATCCAAAGGAATAGGTATATATATTAATTTATTGTATATGCCATTCTAGAATAACTTTTCAATGGATATAAATGAAATTTCACTAACATATGTTTTAAAAAATGGAGGATAGAAAAATATTGGTATGTTTACTAGCCTGTTTTAAACGGGATTACCATCACTGACCATGGGATGGCAGACAACTTTGGGAGTACCTGTGTGTGCAGTAAGATGTTTGTCAATCAAATTCAAAAAGCTTACTAGAAATTGTATTTTTGTTACCATTATTAATATGGTGTCAGCACCATCATTGTATATTGGAGCTAAAGCAGTGGATCAGGACCATCACCTTTTGCGTTCACTTGCTGCTATACAAAACCCTGATCTTTACTCCATGGAGCTTAAAAATGAAATGCAAGATAAGGAACAACTGATAATAGAGATGGGTAAGATAAAAATGTCAGTGAGGCAATTTCTGAATATCCTTGGGTTTATTCTTCTCCTTTAACAGTAGTCTACTAGTTTACTATCATGATCCTGCATTACTTTTCTAGTCTTTAGTTTTAGATTTTCCTTCTATTGTTCTGTCTCTCACGTGCTTTTAACTTTTAATCATACACTACCTAGCCATTGAATACATCTCTCGTTTCCACAAATGTCACAGCAAAAGGTGATGAAAAGTTACTTTGATCTCACAAAGGAATTAATCATTTCAGTAATTACAGTTACCACCTATTTTTTTACTTCTCTTAATTTAAAGTGCACAAAATAATTTTTTTTGGTGAGTGCAGGTTTTAGAAAATTGTATTTATATGACAAGAGAATGAATATCAATGAGAGCCACACATTTCTTTACCGTTTGTATTTTATCTTGTCATTTGTGATTTGGGGTGACTTTAATCTACAAATACAGATAGGGTCAAAAAAACATTATGATCAGCTACATTTACATGAGATTCTT